TGGTGGAGTCACCGACCCTGGAGGTGTTCAAGGAACGTTTGGATGTTGTGTTGAGGGACATGGTTTAGTGAGAACTATTGGTGATAGGTGGATGGTTGGACTGGATGATCTTGTAGGTCTCTTCCAATCTTGGTGTTTCTGTGATTCTGTGCACATGCTTTCCTGATTCCTAGTGTTAAAACTATCCAGAAACATAGCAGTAACATTTTGTAAATTCAGTGACACGAAAAAGTGCTTTCAGTGTTCCTGTGTACTGATTGGAAATTCATGTAAGATCAAATATGACAGGCTGATAGCAGATAGGTAGTCCCTTCCCTTTTGTATGGCAAAAAAAGGCAATGACAGTGCCTTCTAATAGGATTCAGGCACGGTGGAACAATAGCAAAACAAAATTAGCTCACCTCTTCCAATGACCTGTGATGGCTGGAGAGGAGCACAAGAGATATCCAGAGAGATACTGCTCCCTCAGCTGCTAATCCTTAAATGAGGGTGAGGAGAGGTGGATCCAGTCTCCACTCCTTCCAGTCATTCAGATGCATTGCTTGTACCTGAGCTCCCGGGGTAAGCACACCTTCTCACCTGGTGCTCAACCATTTGTTCAGGCAGTGACCTGGCAATTCCAGTGCACTCCACCCCTTCACAGCTTGAACCAACGATTGAGCAAGTTGGGGGTAAGCTCCTGCTGTTTTGGCAATCCAAAGTATGACGTACATCACGATACACATAAATTACCTGTTGCAATGCTGGGTATCAAGACATTGAAGGTGATTGTTGACAGTCTTTTCGTGGTTCTGTAGGGCCAACACTTGATGTTCCTTCAGGAGGCATATCTTCAAGGACCAGTAGTGCTTCAGGTCTGTGCTCACCTGTTCCTGAAAGGTCAACAGGTCACCACTGGGTGTCGTGATGTTTCTTCATGGACACTGAGGCATGCTGGAGTGCTGTTGCTCCCACCAGTGGTCTTGTGAACTTAACAAACTCAAGGGGATTAGTACAGATGTTTAACAGGTATGAGGAGGGGTAGGTCTGCCCTCTGTGGTACGATACAAGCTGTGTTTTTGTCTTGAGTCAACACCTCCACTTGCACTGGGGCATATCCTGGCCTTTGGTACCGTACCCTTTGGCCTGATATCTGTCACTGGATAACTATACCAGGTACTAATGGGGGAGCGGGTTCTAATTTGCCACATGGATCTAATCTGGCCACACACTCCCTCACAAATACGTGAACTTTATTTGCTCCTTTTGCCTCTGTGACACCACATGTAGACCAAGCAGGTGCATGAGTTAGTTCCCTGTGGAAGGTGTGTCGCTCATGTCTACTTGTTGCATGAAATACCAACAGAAGCAGAAAATAAGTGTAAATGAAAATTGGCTATCATCAAGTAAAAGCATTCACCTTCCTTTTGGCCTTGTAACTGTGGTTCTCTTGCTCTCTGTCTTCCAGAGGTCTCTGTGCAAACATCCTGAAGCCTCATACCACAGAAATGATGCAGTGCTGTTTGTAACGATTGATATGCCTATCCAGCCAAAGGCCATAAAAAATCCTAGTGTAATCATTCTGCAAATCAAGTTACCTCTGCTATCTGTGTGCCTTACATAAAGCACAGTGGAATTGATCCCAGTGATCCCCTCTAAACTTTTTATTACATTGGCTGAGGTTCTCTCTCCTTCTCCCTTCTGCTCACTCATGCAGCATTTTCACTCTTCCAATTTTGCCAGAAAACCTTGCTGGATCCTTAAGCCAAGTTGATAGTACAAGGTCCAGGAGTGGTAATTTTTTGCTGTGTCATATCACTCTTCGTTCTTCCATGCAGAGATTTTGTTTTTTCAATATGTTGTATAAAGGTACACAAGCAAACATGTAGGTTTATGTATGGACTTCTGACTTACGCCAAGAGGCACAGTTAAAGTGGATGAACATTGTGACATTTTTCAGTCTATGTGAAATCATCTTGCCCAACCAAGAGGCTATAGACGTGTAGTCTTGAGTGCATTTGCTGATAGCTGTAAGAAGTTGTGGTGATGTCATTGTTTGCAACATTTACAATGTGTCTATGATAATATGTGAAGGGGAAGAAGGTAATAAAAGATTACACGTCTGTGTGAGGCACAGGAGATAGCAAAGTTGAGCCTGCACTTTTGTAGGACAAAGTGAAATTAAAGTTCTTGAAATTCTATTCTCTAGAAATTCTGTCAGTTTTTGAGGTAGAAGAAAAGATGGGATTAAGAGCAATTCTTTGCGCTAGAAATTTTAGGAAGCAAAATGAGGGTGATAAATTTATTCTTATTTTTGCAAATACTGAAGTTTCCTATCTGTGTGCTACCAGTCTTGATAGGAGACCGACTGCCAAAAGACTAAGTACGGCAAAACAAGCAAATGTTCCTAGACAAATTTACATTTAAATGAATGCAGATAATTTGCATTCATCTATGCAATATGGAGAAACTTTAGTTATCCCTAACCAAAGAATGAACTGAGTTAAGCAGAACTAAAAACAAAGAAAACATCTTGGAGCATGGAGAGGAATCCAAGTGTTTTAGTGTTTCCCTTTAGTAAGTTGTCCAATAATTATTCAGCCACAATTAATGTACTGTATAAAAATCAGACTAAACTCTTCTTTTTTCTTTTTTTCTTTTTTCCTGAAGAAATTTAAGACAGTCCGCTTTTTGCCTGCATCTTTCAAAGTCTCTCTTTAGGCTCATACTCTGTCTCATTTTCTGGTACCCTTTCTATTTTGACAGCTAAACATCATGCTATCTTGAAAGTGATAAAGGTGTGAAGCTCTGAGGAACTCGGTATATAGCTAGATAGAAGAGGCATCATCTTTAAGAGAAGAAAACTCTTCCAGCTATTCACAAATAGTTGATAGTACTTATTAGTGCTTAATGCAAACCCCTGTGCACGCTGCAAGACACAATGGTTTAAGTTCTCATTGTAATGTTCAAGTGATGCTTAGTTGTTAGCTGCCCTGCCACCTCATGGCACTCAGAGCAATCAGATGAACAGCTGAGCTCTTCACAGTGGTACTAGGCCACTGATGTCCCCGTAGAATAACATTTATAGAGAGCAGATCAGAAAGGCAAGCCAGGTAAAGAAGCCAAAGTTAGTGCTGAGACTACTTAAATGCCTGCTGTGCCAGATATGAATGCTTAGACTAAAAATATAGCTACTAACCAGCATTTATTGGGGTAGTCATCAGACAGTGTCTGCCAAGAGCCATGGACTCATGATTAGGTCTCTGTAGACAAGAGGCAGAACTTCCTCAGACCTCTGCTCCCAAACAGGCAAATTTTGCTCAAAGTATGTTTGCAGAGTTGCAACAATATGCATCCTCACTGAAATAACTGCAAAGCATGTAATCGCTTACTAGTGGTTATCGCAGGCAACAAGTGATACAGGGAAAAACTTGAGTTCGGATTTTGTTTATCTTCTCAGCAGGGTGTAAATGGTATTTTAGTACCTCAGTCTCTGAGCATTTCATCTCTACTGATTTCAAGTGCATCTGGCAGCCTTGAAGATAATTTCAGAGAAGTACACAACAGTCTGTGAGATCCATTTCCCAAACCAGCAGTTTTGCCACATAGTCTGTTTCTTAAGTCAAGCTCTTTCATAAGATAAAGCTTCATGAGAACCTGGCTTCCACCATCAAATTAATTCAAGACATTTATTGCATTTTCCCCAACTTCTCACCAGAGCTCATTACCTCCACAGAAGTGCATTTTACCCATTTCTGAGACAGCACTGAGAATCAAGTCACTGATGTGGGTCTGGCCTAAAACAAGGTCTCAGCCACTCTATTTTTACCAGCACCTCAGAATTAGTTTTGTAACACTGATAAAGAGCAGGAAATTTCAGGGGAATGATGGTCAAAAACCTGTCCAACATGGCTTGAAAGGACTTATAAAAGCCTATGGCATTCACGTGGATGGTAACTTCTCTGTCATTCTGACTCCTCAGTGAATGTAGCCTTTTATATTCCCCATTTCCTTAAATTTCAGACTGGATCCAGGGTGAACTGGTTAAAAGGAGAAAGGAGTTCTCCAATTTCATGGTATTTCCTGAAGATGCATAAGAGATGTAAGAAGGAAAAATTGTGGATGGGGAAACAAACACTCAGAGCTATAAGAACATGGATATTGGTCTTTTTCTGCTGCCTTGTTCCAGGACTCGCTGTTCAATGACTGAGCATATGTTTTACCTTAACATTAAGAGACAAAAAGAGATACCAGCTGCTTCTAGGCCTTCTGCTTCCTTCACTGATGCATCAGAGGCAGTGAGAAAACATTGAAAAATCAAGCCTCACACAAATCAAGTCAAATACGCTATTCCAATTCAGCCAACGTGAGGCCAAGTTTTCAAACAATTTTAATGTGCAAATTGTAAGGACTGTAGTCAGAGGAGGGAGTGCCAAATTAAGTGTTTTGATTTTAATCTTATTGTTTGCATATCTTCCCCCCTGCAGACTGTATAACGCCAAGTCCCTCATAGTCACATCCTAGATCACTGTTGAACAGTCAGCAACAAGGCCATTCTTGAGGCAGCAAAGCATAGTCGAGTTTAGTTGCCAACTGAGCTTACATCATGTTTGCCACTGTTTTCCAAGGATGCTACTGCAAAATTGGCATTAATTAAAAACCTCCGCAAGGGCTGGAGCTGGTGCCTATGAATGTGCATGTGTGGTGACCTCCAGTGTCAGTCACATGAGTGCAGGTATAAATACTGTCCAGTTGAGGGAGCAGTTATTTTTTAAGTACTTGACTCGTTTCCCAGATACTGATACCCAGATCGCTGTGCTGCAAGGTGAAAGGAAGCATGAATGCCTTGTCCTGTGCTTCTTCCGTCCTTGTTGTATCTTGGACTTAAAAGGCAAATGTGGGCAACTTCTCTTAGGCTGTACGTGTGTTTGACAAGTGGGAAGATATGAGAACTCTAAACATCAAGATATTGGTCCCATAATAATTTAATCCTTATACTTTCGGTTGGAAAAAAGATTACGTTTTAACCTGAAAGAAGTTAAATCTTTAATGTTAAACATTAATCTTTGAAAGCAATACATTTGTATTTGTAAAGAACAGATCAGATTGTTCATACTGGTAAATCTCAAACTTCTTAACTAGAAATGAAATTGATCTGTAGAGTTAGCAGTTAAGGAAGAGAACGCCATCTCTCTATAAAATTGGATACATAATCACCAAAGATCAACCATATATGTAAGTGTTGTCTTTTCATTCTTAGGTATTTCCCCAAGACTTCACAGTTTTGGGCTTGGAGCTGAGGGAACTGGTCCCAGCCATTTTTCACCTGCAAGACAAATCAGCACATAAAGAGTTAAAATTTAATACAGATAAATAATTGTCTAGTCACATTTATGCAGCTGAACGTCTATTCCTACTCTTCCTTCAAAGGGCAAATACTGATGATGGAACACAAATATTTCTCTTGTATGTCATGCTTCAGGCATCTTCCAGCATCCTTCACTGCATAGTTACAAATGAAGTGGTATGGAAGAATTATTTCCTCTGTTACAGATAAGAAATTCTGCAGGTCCTGAATGCTATGCTGAAGCCAAATGTTTTAAGGACTACTTCTTTTCAGGGGCTAGAGGAAAGAGTATGAAGGGTAAGAGGCTGGGCAATCAGAGAAACAATTTGAAGTGGAAACTAGTGGAAGAGGGAAGAGCATTCCAGTTAGGATTAGAAATGATCAAAACGGCTGTTTAAAACTTCATATTCTTTACTCTCATTTTCACAAAGAATATTTTTAAATAATCCAAACCCATTCAAATAAAGAAAACAAGCATACAAAAGTTTCCTTCTGTTTAGTCTATGACCAAATTTAATTTACATTAATGATGATCTGCTGCTGACATTTTTCCACAAATGCATTGGACCTAATTACACACAACTCTTTCTAGTCACTGCTTTCCTATTCTCCAAGTGCAGCCAAATCTAAGATCAGATTCCCTCTAACTCAGGTGACCAAGTTTAGTTGCATTTTATTAAGAGAAATGAAAATAAGTACATTCCCATCAAAGAGGATGGTCAGTCAATGGATTTCTGTTTAAAATTGTGTAGTTATGTAACAATGAACTACGGATTTAAGAGCTGTGATAGCATGTTGTTTATTGAGGAGGAACAGATTTAAGGTAAAATGTCAGAATAGCAGAAAGTCAGTGTCACTCAGTCTTAATCTTATCCAAGATGTAACACCCAGTATCAAGTAGTTAAATATGAACATTTTGAAATCTAAACAAATTTAATAGCAATTTAAGAATGGCGCATGGTGCACAAAACCTTGAACCACACCAATGAGAAAGGTTGGAGAACTCAGATTATTTCTTCCCTGGGAAAAGGACTACATATTTGGTCACTCTAAATGTACTAAAATCCATTCCAGAAAGCAGTTTCATCCCTTGAGAAGTACAGTCAACATTATTTTATATTTGAAGAACATGAACACTATTTCATTCATATTTACTATTTCACACACTCACCTATAATGCTAGCTAGCAGCTCCAAACGATCAGAGCCAAAAAAGAGATGAGGGTTTCCATTAACATGTGCCACAACAGCAGGCATCCCAAAAGCCTATTGACAGCATGGAGATTAAATTGTGAATGTTATAATGAGAGAAACTTTTGTAGGCACATGATCAGTGTTCAGGAATAAAATCCAAAATGTTGACTTTTCTTGCCTTCTCTTCATTTGAACTTCATTCTGAAAGATGAGTCTAATGGAGCTATCAGAAAGTAAAGGGCTCTCCAAAGACTGTACGCCCCTCCTGAATGAGCAAAAAAAGCAGTGTGGTAAACCCACAGTTTTATCTAAAGTAGTGATAGATGGTATTTCTTGATTCTGGCCCTGTAGCTGCCCATTCTTGTCAATCAACTTGAACGGGCTGAATGGGCTTCCCAGATGACAATGCAATAAATTACCAGTGAGTTAGCTTGTACATGTTCAAAAAGCAAAAGAGAGATGGTCTGTATAGTGCTTTATAACCATCACCTTCATTGTTCCTTGCTTCCCAGTGTTCTTAATGGGGAAGGAATGCCTAGCTGTGACATCAAAAGGCATTGGAAGCACCTCACCCCATATTTTATCGCTTCCTCAGTTGTGTCCTTCAGACGATTCTTCACTTCAGGGGATGAAATCATTTCAAGTAGCTTCTGGGTGAGCTCAGAGGATAGCCCAGTCTTTTCTGCTACCTGACAAGTGACAATAAAATCAGGCATGCTCTAATACAACATATTCTAATTCCTACTATGGACTAATTAAATTTTTTCTTCAATGTTTATTACATTAGTTTACTTAAAAAGTTTATTACAAAAAAAAAAAAAAATCACAAAATATTCTTGAAGTCCTTCTTGCTCATTATCTTGCTTTATTCCCAATCCACTCTCATTTGTTAACTTCTAGTCCCTGAAGCTCTAAACATGCTGGTTTTTATTCAGGCATTCCAGAGAAAATACTGAGTGTAATATTTGCTAAGACAGAAACATTTTGTAGTACAAGTGTGGCCACATAGGAGCTCAGATACTTGTAACTCATGGTGTTTTTAAAAACTATCTCACAAAGAACACTGATTTCCTAACATCTACCTGCTTTTTTTTTTTTTTTCCCCTGTCCTTCAAGAAAAGTAAAAGTAATCCTGAGAGAAAATGCTCACAGTCACTTTTTCTTTCACTTAGAAACCACATTTTCTTGTACTTTCTCCTCCTCCCATACCAGGAGGATCAGTAACTCTTTTTAACTCTACTTGAGTGGGAGATACACATGAGTAATCTGATAATAATACAAAATGTTGTGCAAGCATGGTACACAAAGCATTTAGACTGCAACCTTTGCACACAGACATAATATCTGATTGTCACCATTTCAGAGGAGGAGCATTCAGGAGGACTGGGTCAGGATTCTGAGGCTACATTGGTTCTATAGGAAGTTACAAGAAGTCACTGCTAACTAAGAACTGGGTTTAAAAAAAATAAATAATACTACAGGCACATATGGAACTGTATCAAGTAAACAACATACCATTTCTCAAACACTGTGTAAAAGAAATTCTCCTCTAAATACTCAGATGAAAAAAGATTGCAACCTATTGCGGCCTTGGATGGTTTATTTCTACAAGAGAGGAAGGTCTAATATTTGCTGTAGGGGCAGGAAAAAAAAAATACAGACAGAAGCAAACGAGGAGATGCCTACATCCCTGCCATGCTGAACATGGATACACTCAAAGACTGCCAAGGAATGGCTAAATTACTTGGAGTTCAAATTTTGTCTCTTGGAAAGATAAATAAAGTGCCACCATTTTCTGAAATTCCAGTGAAGAGATGTGTTAAGATGAAACAAAAAAGCAATGAGTAGACTGGGGAAACAGCTGGACTACAAGTTTCAAATAGCAATGGCAGATAGTAGAGCCTGTATCTCTTAGGCACAGGCAATTCTTTTTTTCTTCACGTTCCAGTAACTTAATAATAAAATCATAGAATCATAGAGAAACATAGAAAGGAGATTCCTTAAATAGGGACACATAAACTTAGATGCCATTACAGCCTTAACTGCCATAAACAAAATCTCACTTGCAAAAGACTATATAAGACAACTGCAATTTCTAAACACATAAGATGGCAATACAACACTAAATTTAATAGTAAAAACCTCGCTCCATCATTTCAAGGAGCATCAACTTTCCTGGCAAAGTGAACCATTTCACAAGAAGATTTCATCCATGCATAATGTCAAAACCTCAGGGCATCCTGGAGACTACTTATTTCTTTAACCACTGTTAAGAAAACTGAATTAATAATAATTCATTTTCCATTCCAGGTGTTTTGCTATATGAACTAGGAAAAAAAAAAAAAAGAAAAAAAAAGGAGATTTTTATTCTGAGTATAAGAATTATAAATAAATAAATAAAATTTGAAACAGATCAGGTAGGAAAGTTAAACCCCCACTTTTTTCAAGCAGAAAATTTTAAAATCTCCAAGTGGTCATTTCAAAAATTTATAATAATAAAGGCACACTAAGCTGTCTCCATGGTTGTTACTGATCCAAGTAATCAGTAAGAATAAACCAGAAAAGCAGAAGCACTAACAAAAAGAAGAGACTTACAGCCAAAATACTCTCCACCTGACTGATATCTTCATGCTGTTAAAAGAAGAAAATAAGTAGTTTGCTTAACATGAACAAGAGCTCAGTTCTGGACTTGAAAGGAAGTTTCCTAAGAAAACAGAAATAAAACAACATTAGTTGTCCCTGCTGGAGAAGTTTTTTCAGGAAAACATTTGAGTTACCTAATCAAAGATTGTTCTGACACAAACTGCTGATTCTCTCAGTCTGTAGTACTCTCAATACTGAAAATAATAAGGAACAGCAAATTAAGACAACTAGAAGTGAGTTCTTTTCTTGCAGTGACTCCTGAATTACTGCTGTGGTTTACTCTGGCAAGACTCTCAGCTCCACACAGTCATTGGCTCACCTCTACCCTTACAGTGGGATAGGGGAGAGAACTGGAAAAAGGTAAAACTGTGGGTTGAGACAAAGACACTTTAGTAGGGCTGAAAAGGAAGGGGAAAATTGTGAATATATACATATGTGTGTATATACACACGTACACACACGTATGCACAAAAGTGATGAGCAGTTCTATTGCTCACCATATGCCAAATACTGCCCACCCAGTCCCTGAGCAGCAGCTTCCCTCCAGCCAAAAACCCCATTTTTATCATTACATACAGCATCACAGAATCCTGGTTCTGTCCCCTCCCAGCTCTTTGAGCAATCCCAGCTCCTCACAGGCAGAGCCTACAAGAAGCTGAAATGTCCTTGGCTCTGTGCAGCACTGCTCAGCAACAGCTAAAACATCAGTTTTTTAACCACATTATTTTTCTCCTAAATCAAAAACATGGCATCGTATCAGCCACCATCATGAAAACTAACTTTAGCCCAGCTGAAACCAAGATGGACACTGATGACCTCATGTTTCCTTCCATGACTTCTAATTGAAAGACTTTTCCTTTCTTTTGCTCACATTTCACATTTAACGAAGCGAGTCAGAAAAGTTGACAGAAAGGATCAAGGCTTCATAAATACTGACCTGTGACCAAAAACGTAACCAGAACTCTCTAGATAAGGGTTCCAAGTACTTTGGTTGTGTCATATCAATGGCTGTGATGAAACGCATGGCTCCAAGAGTGTCTGGAATTAGTGGAAACAAAGAAACATGCTGAAACATGGCACAGAGTCACTAACAGGTAAGAGTTTTAAGAGGTATTACCTAAATACAGTATAATCTTATTTGTAACTATTTCCAAATAGTAACATTTCTGCTGAATCAACTGTATCTTCAGTGTTAATTTGGAAGTTTTTTTCCTCAGAACTTCCTTTCATGGTTAAAAAACACACACATTTCTTACTGCTAACAGATACAGGGAGAGGCTATGGACAGAGAATCCATCTTCACCGAATCACAGGGGTTGGAAGGTACCTTGAGAGATCATCGAGTCCAAACTCCCTGCTAAAGCAGGCACCATACAACAGGTCGTACAGGTAGGCATCCAGATGGGTATTGAATATCTCCACAGAAGGAGATGCCACAACTTTTCTGGGCAACTTATTCCATTTCTGTCATCACCCCTACTGTAAAGAATTTCTTCTGCATTTTGGTATGGAACTTACTATGTTCAAGTAGTACTTGAATGTACTACTCCTTGTCCTATGGCTACACACCACTGAGAAGAACCTGGCCTCAACCATTTGCCTCCCACCTCCCTTGCGATATTTATAAACATTTATCAGATACCTTCTCAGTCTTTTCCCTAGGCTGAACAGGCCCAAGGTTACTCAGCCTTTCTTCACATGGGAGATGCTCCAGGCCCTTAATTATCTTTGTGGTCCTTTGCTGGACTCCTTCTAGGAGATCCCTGTCTTTTTTGAACTGGGGAGCCCAGAACTGGACACAGTAGTCTCTAAATGTGGCCTCTCCAGGGCAGAGTAGAGGGGGAGGATAATCTCCCTCGACCTGTGGCCATGCTCTTTCTAATGCACTCCAGGATACCACTGGCCTTCTTGGCCACAAGGGCACACTGCTGGCTCATAGCCAACCTTCTGTCCACCAGGTCCTTCTCTGCAGAGCTTCTCTCTAGCAGGTTATCATCTAACCTGAACTGATGCACAATGCAGTTATTCCTCTCCAAGTGCAAGACTACACTTGCTCTTGTTAAACCTCATCAGGTTCCTCTCTACTCATCTCTCCAATCTGTCCAGGTCTTGTTGAATGGTAGCAAAGCCTTCAGGTGTGCCAGCCAATATTCCCAGCTTTGTATCATCAACAAACTTGCTGAGGGTGGATTCTATCCCTTGACACAGGCTGTTGAAGATTACGTCAAACAAGACTGAACACTGAACCAACCCCTGTGGAACACAGCTAGTTACAGGCCTCCAGCTAAACTCTGCACCAGTGATGACAACTCTCTGAGCTCTGCAAGTCACCCAGTTTTCAATCCATCTCACTGTCCACTCATTTACCCCACATTTTCTAAGTCTTATAACAAGGACTTTGTGGGAGACAGTGTCAAACACCTTGCTGAAGGCACACAACATTCACTGCTCTCCCCCCCATCTACCCAGCCAGTGATGACATCATAGAAGGCTATCAGATTAGTCAAGCACGATACCCCCTTTGTAAATCCATGTTGATTACTTCTGATAACCTTTTTCTCTTCCAATTGCTTGGAGATGGAATTCAGAACAAGCTGTTCCATCACCTATCCAGGGATGGAGGTGAGGCTGACTGGCCTGTAGTTTCCTGGATCCTTCTTCTTGCCCTTTTTAAACATTGGAGTGACATTGGCTATCCTCCAGTCTTTAGGCACCTCTCCTATTTGCCAGGATCTTTCAAAGACGATAGCCAGTAATTCAGCAACCACCTCTGCCTGTTCTCTCAGTGGGCGCATCCCATCGGGGCCCATGGATTTGTGTGTGTTGACTCTGGCTAGGTGTTCTCTGACCAGATCCACCTCAGCCAATGGAAAGTTCACCTTTACTCAAACTCTCTCTCTTATACTCAAACTCTCTCTCTTACCTCCAGGGTCTGGGATTCCTGAGAGCTAGCCTTAGCAATGAAGACTGAGGCAACAAAAGCATTCAGAATTCCTTCTCAGTATCACCTGTTACCAAAGGCACCCTCCTCAATTAGAAGGGGACTCTCATTTTCTCTAGTCTTCCTTCTACTGCTGACATACTTAAAATGCTTTTCTTGTTATCATTTACCTCCTTTGCAAGGCTTAATTCCAAGAGGGTCTTAGCCTTCCTCGTTGCATCCCTACAGGCCCTGACAACATTCCCATATTCTTCCAAGGCAGACAGGCCCTTTCTCTACATTTCATAGAACTTCTTTCCTTTCAATTTATCCATGAGTTCCTTGCTCTTCCACACAGGCCTCCTGCCACCTTTCCCCAATTTCTTACTTTTAGGGATTCACTGATCCCAAGCTTCCCTCAGACATCACATCCCCGACCAGCTCTTTCTTAGTAAAAACAAGGTCAAGCAGTACACTTCCATTCATTAGCTCCTCCACCACCTCCATCAGAAAGTTATTATCAACACACTGCATGAACTGCCTGGACTTTGTGTGCCTGGCCATGGCGCTTATCCAACAAACATCAGGATGGTTGAAGTCCCCCATGATAACCATTGCTGGGGATCACCGGGCTACTTCCAGCTGTTTGTAGAAGGCCTCTTCCACTTCCACCTCCTGATCAAGCCACAACACTGTCACCAATGTTAGCCCACCCCTTGACTCTTACCCATAACCTCTCCTCTTGTTCATCATTCCCCCTCAACTGGAAGTCAACGCATTCTACTTGTTCTCTCACACAAAGGGCAACTTCACCACCTTGCCTCACCAGTCTCCCTTTCCTTAAAAGGACAGAGCCATCCATGACAGCATTCCAGTCACAGGAGCCGTCCCACTCTGTCTGTGTGACTGCACGCAGACCTCTAGTTCTTCCTGATTATTTCCCATGCTATATGCATTGCTACATAGGCACTTTCGAGAAACAGAGGGTGCAGGTATCTCTAGGGGGATGCAAGAAGTTTAAGCCAGGCTATTGGCAACGTTATCTTCTCTGAAGAATAATCACAAGATCCAATCAGACAAATGAGAGGCTTCTCTTTTTTTCTTAACCTTTACTGTAATGGAGGATTTAAACAACGATTGACAAATGTTGTCTAAGCTAAATCTCTTACTTACTTTTACCAAGGATACGTTGGAAGACATCTTCTGGAACTGTTAAAGGCACCTGATAATATTTTGCCATCCTTATTATATCCTTCCGCATGTATTCTGCACGCTTTGGCAACAATGCTGGAGGCTTGTTACCTTTCAGAAAAAGTTCTATTTTAAGCAGAAGATTTCAAGTATGCTATAAAAACACTGGACAAAACAAAACATGACAAATGAGATCTCACCTACACACATACCCAAGGAAAAGCAATTTTATACAGCAATAGTAAAATGTATGCAGATTTTCCAAATGTAACACTATGATTTAAAACACAATTTATTTTGGTTTTACAGAGACTGGTAGTTTAAATTAGCAGAACCAGTTTTAAACAATGGTGAAAACTTCCTGATAGGCATCTGTATTGATTCAGATTGATGACTTTTAAGGTAAACAACCACGGACTGATAAACAAGGGCGGGGGATTGTTAATTTCGTGATTTATAAATCTCAGGGAATCCTAATAAGGCCCCAAGTGCTATTTTATAATATTCTTTGATCCTTCACGTATATTACAAACTATAAGAGTTCCACAGATTTATTCTAGTTTTAATTCAACCTGAAACTTTCAGAAGATCATTCCATGTAGAATTATTGTTATTCTATTTTAGGACTGAAGAACTTTGTGGCATTTACACATTCCGCATGCAGCACTTGTGGGGTACACAGCACAAAATTCCTTGCAGCCGACTTCTAGGTCACTGCTGAGCTCCACGACCCTATATTTACTTTGCTATTGGTGCCAAAAATGAGTTTAAGGCTGGCTCTGCCATCACCCACAGAACTATCCTACTAAGGAATGCCAACCTCCCCACATTAGCTACCAGTTGACTGCATTATGCCGCCAAGGAAAGCCGGACGAAAGCGCAAATCAATATTCCATATGTGCTGGTATCGGCAGAGAACCTGCAACACAGAAAGGCAAGCCAGATTGACAAGAGATGTCTGCAGATCTGCATGCAAAAACAAGCGTTCGGCTGGGACGTGCCTCCTAAACGCCCCCTGGTTTTCAACCCGCCACAAAAAAAACTTAAAGGTCCCCGGCAAACGGGATTAAAAACAAAAATCGAAACACATTATGGGCAAAGCAAAGCAAAGCAAACCAGAAACAAGCACAAAACGGAAACGAAGCAGGGATCTTGCGATAAGCGCACCGGCTCCGTGCCGCTCTGGTCGCAGCGAGGGAAGCCCTAAGGGGCAGGGAAACGAGACGCCCTTCGGCTGACTCCGGCCCTCGCTCGTGCCTACTCGGCCCCTTTACCAGCGGCCGTGGTGAACCGCGGGATCCCCGGGAGCGGTCTCCCTCCACACTTCCTCCCCTCACCTCGAACCCCAGCCAGGAGTAAGGAGACACCACATCGTAAAAGAGCTCCACGACCACCCGACCCATGTCACCCCGCTCTCGTCCCCCGCCGCGCCGTGTCGACACGCCCCTACTACCCAGCGCCAACCCCCCCCCCCCCTCGGGCAGGCGGGCGCTGACGGGGCCTGGGCGCTCTTCCGCTCACGTGAGTCCGGCCTGGTGGCGGGGCAGCGTGCGTGTTGTCCGTTAGGTGCAGTCAGTGGGTCGCGTCCGTCTTCCGAGGAGCTTCCTGCCGCACAGCTGGAGCCCAGCTGTGAGGTGCTCTTTGCTGTCTCTCCTTTGAAACCTGGCTTGGGAAATCGAGGGAGGGAGGGAGCCTGTGCCCTTCTCCGTGCTGAGGTGGGAGGAGAGGAAGCTCCTGAGGAGGACAGAGGGGAGCTGCCTTAGCCGTTCCGGCATGTTTTCCCGAAAGCACGCTTCTCCCGTTGGAGCCGACGGAGGGTACGTACGGACACTGAGCGGCTCTCCCTGGGCAGTTTGCATTGCAGCCTGCAGCCTGGGGACGGGGTGGGGGAACAGCTGAGAGGGTCTCGGGTGTAAGGCTGGCATGGGACCCTGCCCCGCGATGGCTGTTTTGTGGTGGGAGCGGGTAGAGGAGCTCTTGTAGGCTGACTGAAAATGAAGCTCACTTAAACTCCTTTTTCCATCTTTTGTCCCTGCTCCTAATCATCCCACAAGAAATTCTGTGCAATTCCAAAATGCACTTCACCTGCATCCTGCAATTGTGTCACAGATCCCCCTTAGCCCGGATAATAATCCATAGACCAATTCCGCAGCCTTTATCTCAACCCATGAATTCTCACACTTTTACCTTTTTGATTCTCCTACCCTATGCCTCCTGAGAAGAGTGAGCGAGCAGCTGTGTTTTACTTAGCTGCCTGCCAGGGTGAACCTACACGATTATGGCATAGAAAGAGAAAAAGAGAATCAATGTTTCTCTCTCTAGTCACATTTGCAATTTGCTTGTATATAGTTCTGCATCTTAAGGACAAGAACAGCCTCTCACTGAGTTTGTCATCTTATAAAGTACTATATAGAAAATTAGTTCAGGAATCCACTCTGTATGTGACAAATAAAATATCCAAAAGGTGAAACGCAGCATCAATAATTCTCTTGCAGTTCATTCTCCATTCCTAGTTATCTCCAGAAAGAAGTTCTGTGAATTTGGGGGAGAAATTGTACAAGGTTTAGGGCTGGTTCAGCCCAGTTCTGTGACTAATGGGGTGGAGGGACCCACCAACCAATGCTCCAGGAGAGGGGAAATGTGGAAGGATAGGGAGATGAACTTAAGAACAAAACAGCAGCAGTGAGCTAAGGGAGAAAAATAATTCACTAAATGTGATAGTGGGATGCAAGGCAATATAATACGATATAATTGGAACTGAAGGCAGTAAATCAAATTAAATGAGAGAGTGTCCAAAACCAAAGGCCTTACTCTAAGGTGAGACGGGTAGGGAGCACACGCCACAGAGATGAGAAGTAAAAGAAAGGGAGCATTTTGTGACTCACGGGAAGTTTCATCTTTCCCTCTAAATGGAAAATGGAACAGTGAAAATTTGGGATACAAATCTTCTCTTCTGAGAACCAGGTGCCTGGAACTATCAACTATATACTTGCAGGTGCTAGCAATTGGAAACCAAGATCCAAGGGGAGCATCTCATAAGAGTGTCTAAGGTCAACAGCATGGAACTGGAGCATTAACTCTTTAACTCCTTGTGTGCTACATAATGTTGTGGTGTGGAATACTGATAACAAATATCATAAAACCGTGACAGAAACATACTTTCAGGAAAAGATCTTTAAACAGCTTTTAATAAGAAAATACCATATGTTGAAAAGTTACCTCAATAGAAAAGAAAAAAAGCAATGAAAATATTTAGAAATAAAAACCAAAATTGTCCATGCAGTCATGGGAAGTTTGAAAAACTGTCTTAACAATCACGTTTATATTTCTTCTACATATGTTAACACTTCTCTGCAAATAAACCAAACTTACGAAAACTAATCCTAAATGCAAGCTTTTCTGGTTCCAATTAGCATTTTTGGAACAGTGATGTGTTACAGAACTGCTCGGTACTGCTCAGCAGTCTCGATCATTGTCCCAGCTCTTCAATGTCATCGTACCCTGTGTCTTCAAGAGCAGGGGATAAATCTCTCTGAGCTCCAGATGTTCTGTTTCTTGACACATTAGGACTCCAGTCTGAAAGCATGAAGGGAAAACCACTGAGATAAATGCCCACTCTGCATGTGTTACATCCACATGGTTGTGCAGCTGACAGCACGGGCTGTCTGTTGCTGCCTCCTGAAAGACTTGAGAAAAGCTTATTTTATTCTACTTCCTGCCACATATAAAAATATCCAAGGATCAAGCATACTTTTCCCAATAAACATTTTTAATGAACTTAACGATAATCATTTTAAATGAAAGCAATTATTCAGTGTGCCAAAAGAACCCAATTCCATGTTTTACCACCTCAACTTTAAAAAGCATTTTTTGTTCTCTTTATCTGACATATTACAAACGTAGTAGATCTAGCCTTGTCCTTCCCAAGAGTATGCCCTAATTTGGATCCTCCCAAGGCTACCACAGGAGAATGATCAACCCATTGTTGGTGTTTGAAATCTACTAGGAGGATATAACTCATCTTATAGACTGAGGGTGGTTACTGCATAGAAAAGTATGACCCTGCTAGCCCCCCCTCTCAGCTCTTCCTGAGGAGATCTCTGGGTCCTAGAGCCCTGCTCTCAGCTCCTTCCTCCTAAGGCTTCCCTGCTAACACTGGGATATCAAGTTTCCTAGGTCTCTGCAGATAAAGTCTATTCTCGCTTGCAGTGTTTATAAGGAGAAAAACAACATAGGTGTAGATTACCTGCAGAAGTTGTGAGAACACGTACTGAATTAGTTGAAAGACCAGTCTAACAAGCATCTACCTGGAAGTGTAGGTAGATGTGAATCTAATGACGTTCTTCAAGGCTAAGTGCAAAGTGTTGCACATGGGCCAAGGCAATCCCAGGTGTTTATACAGACTGGGAGAAGAACTCCTTGAGATCAACGCTGTACAGAAGGACTTGGGGGTCCTAGTGGACAAGAGGCTGGACATGAGCCAACAGTGCAGAGGGGAACTGATGATGAGAGGGCTGGAGCACCTCTCCTATGAAGAAAGGTTGAGGGAGCTGGGTTTGTTTAGCTTGGAGAAGAGAAGGCTCCGGAGAGACCTCATTGTAGCCTTCCAATATTTGAAAGGAGAGTATAAAGAGGAGGGGGAACGACTGTTTACAAGGATGGATAGTGATAGGACAAGGGGGAATGGTTTTAAACTGAGGCACGGGAGGTTTAGGTTAGATATCAGGAGGAAGTTTTTCACACAGAGGGTGGTGACACACTGGAACAGTTTGCCCAGGGAGGTTGTGGAAGCCCCATCCCTGGAGGCATTCAAGGCCAGGCTGGATGTGGCTCTGGGCAGCCTGGTCTGGTGGTTGGTGACCCTGCATGTAGCAGGGGGGTTGAAACTAGATGATCACTATGGTCCTTTTCAACCCAGGTCATTCTATGACTCTGTGATTTTATGGGATAGCATTTCTTCCTTACAGTGATTAGATAAAGTCTAGGTGATCTTTTGAGGTATGCTCCACCTTGGTTTTCCCTGAGGTTGGTACAGTAACTATAGGATACGAAAATTAGCAGCAGTGCTCTTCCAGCCTCACCTTTCCATGAATCCTTGTTTCTGTCACATTCTTCTGAGACCCCAGTGATTTCTTGCTTATTCTGCTCAGAAAAAGAAGCATCTTCAGGTCCAGGAGCATCTGTTACATCATCATAACCACCTTCCAGGTTATTTCCAGGCAATGGTGAGATTTCTGAAACAGGATAGGTATTAATAGTAATAGGGATATGTCTTCCACTAGAGAGAGCACTAGCTTATGATCCAAAAATAAGTCCTGCAATAATGACAGTAGTATAATAATGAATGGTAAGAAACTAAGGTTGCTCCTGAGGACTCTACAGTATGTCACAGTGATACAGCTCCAATAATTGTCATATGTTGTTGTAACAAGTAGAAAGCAGAAAACAATGTAGAAGATGAACAGGAATAGGACAAACATCTGGAACAATGGAGTTAGTGGAAAAATTTATGTCAAGGTAGTCTTCCCCACTTTATTTCATAATTTCACAGTAACAAATTGCTCTGTGTCTATCTCTGTAAAGCACCTATTTCCTTGTATTTTCATTACTTTAACCACTCTCTGTTAAACTTCAGTGAAATAGACCAGCTAAGTAGCTGCCCTGTGCTGTCACCTCTGGTTGTTTGGATACAAACTTGGGCCAAACCTTTGGAGAAAAATATTTGCAGTTCTTTTTCCCTGTCTCTCATTTTCCACTGTTTTTAGCGGGGGAATCAGTGAAACCGACCACAGATGCTAATGAGGGGAAGCTGCCCTAAAACAGTTCTAAGAGAGCTTTCCAGAGCAGGTTTGAGTGTGCAAATGAAGACCAAAAAGTGCTGAATAAAGCCAGATGCATGTTTACTTCAGAGCTGCTTGTGTTGGCTTGGCAGATCTGGAAATCTGAGGATAGGAGAGAAGAATTATGGGAGAAACCAGAAGTTTCCTGGTAAATGTGTGAGCTTCACAGTTTCATACTGAGGCCACCAGAAGAAATTAGCTTTAGTTTGTTTCTCTTGATGAGAAAAAGACACACATACCTGAGAGGCCAGACATCCCTTGCTGTTCTTTCATCAGTTTGTAGTCAATCTCCTCATAGACAACCTCATTGAAGGAGTCATAGGGTAGCCTGTAGCCTGAACATAAAATGCATGATCATTCACAGACTCTGTCCATACTCAGGCCATGGTCATGAAAAGATGGAGGGATCTAACAGGGTCTACACAATCTGGTTACTACGCAAAAAGTCACTAAGAAGTGCTGGCTAAGAATAAGTGTGGAGAAGTTTATTTTGACAAAGAGACCTTAGATATTGGGTGAGGAAGCAAGTTTGGATTTGAAAACAAATCCATTCTATTTATTCCGTCTCTGTGCATATCTAAGTTTCTTTGTTTTAAAGTTATGTTTTGTGTTATCTTCTAATAGGCCCCTTCATTACTCAGGAGACTGAAAGCTTTCCAGACGTTTGTGGCATTTCAGGGAAAGATCTCATGCAGATCCAGTCTGAACTGGAGATATTGCTACTCATTTGTCTGAGATGTAATGTGCTACTAGCTATGAGGTTTCCAGTTGCTGTACTGATTTGATATTCTAAAAGCCACCTTTAGTAAGGTGGCTGTCCTTGCTTGCATTTTTGCTGTTTCTCACTGGAAAACTGTTTCTCCAAATTGACCTCACTTTCCACTCTCAAGCTAGTTCCCCTGTCTCTGTTTCTTTCCACACAGGCAGGTCACTTCAAGTATCCTACAGAGGAAGACCAGGCCCAAGACTCCCAGTAGTTGTCCTGGCTGCTGTCAGTTTCCAGATGTACTAGTTGACAGAGAATGAGTGAAAATCTCAGTGCAGCAGCAGGTGTCATTTACCTCAGCCACCCATCTCCCCTTCTCCCCCAGACAGCTGAAAACTTGCCAGCCATTTCAAGGAAGCATTTTATACCAACACACCTCTCTGCTGTGCCCTGGCTCTTTGGATCTGTCCAGCAAGAATGGCAAGAACCAGGCAGAGAAGGGCCCCCAGGATGATGCAGAGGATGACAGGTGCTGAAGCTCTCATGTTGTTTGTCGCTGAGCGGTGGGGTGAAGCTAGATGGAAACAAAGAGGCAGCACATAGGGAAGAACCCAGTAGCCCAAAGGCTGCTCCTCTGAAGTCTCCTCATGTGCTCAGGTAGCAGAGTGAGGCAGCTCACCTGCTACATAATTTCTGCTCAATGAGAAAGAATTCAGCAGCTAGAAATAGTGCCACTCATTTCTCCTTTACAAAAGACTGTGGGAGATGCTTTCTAATGAGCTGGAATATCTCAGAATCACAGAACTGCAGGGGTTGGAAGGGACCTCAAGAATCACTGCGTCCAACCCCCCTGCTAAAGCAGGTTGATATATTTCTGATTTACCTGTTTTGCAGTATCAGTGACAATGAAAGTCCCTAATTTGATGGGAGGAAGAAAGGGTGAAGAAGGAATGTTTTACCTGCTCTAGTGGAAGGTGCTGTTGTTTCTGTCACACCTACAAAAGGAAAGTGAGTCCAGATTAAGGAAGAGGTAACTGAAAAGTAGGAAGAATATGTTCATATCGTTTGTGAGGTTCCTTCAGTAAGAATTATAAAGAGGCTAATCACTGGGATGGACAGATAGCATAATATCCCTCTTATTCACCTCCCTCCCCAGTTTGTGTGATGAACCAAAGGACCATTTTACTAACCTGAGCAATCCACGGCAGCATCCTCCTTGTGATCACAGTTTTTGCCGAGCAAAGGCTTGGAAGGACAGTCCCAAAGTGACAGTTCTGTTCCTTTACAGTGGACCTTCTCCAGCCAGATGGGACCTGTCCCCTCCCCAAAGGCAGCTTCACTCAGAGCAGACACAGCAGAACCACAGCCCAGTTGCCTGCATACAACATTAGCATCTGCCACATCCCAGGAATCATCACAGATTGTTCCCCAGGAACCCTGATTCCAAATCTCCACTCTTCCTGAGCATGCATCCTCTCCTCCTACAACACGTAACTTGTCCTTGTCTGCAGAATAAAAAAGCATCTGTATTGCCTGAATAGCAGTAAGGTCCACAGAGATTAATTAGGAAAAACAAGGGGGTAGAAGTACCTGAGCAACTTGTAGAGTTTGGACACTCAGTAAATGAGGCAGGAGTCATTGTTCCTTTTCTTCCTGCAGAAATTAAATACTGAATTAAATAATTAGATCATTCTCTGGAAAGAGTGAAGGAGTGTAAACTTCCTGAGCATTAATCATCAAGTGCATTTTTCCTATAATAAATGTGTAACCTATTTAGTAGTTGATGTACTAGTTGGCATTTATTAGTGTTTGGCTATTATTGTATATTAAAAAAATCTTTAAACTCTCTGATGACTTTGTTTTCTTTTCTCTTGAAGTGCCTTTCAAGAGATCTGAGTTATCTAAAAATTATTTATATTTCAGTGGGAACCCACAGATATGAGATACTGTCCTAAAAGCAGGCACCAGAAACGATAATTTAGAACTGAACTAACATACACTTGCACTTGGTTATATGCATGCATATGTATTTGTATGTATATAAGCACTGCTTTGCATACATACATACAGAAATACATGTATGTCTCTAGTCTTATTGAATAGTCTCATCTTAACTGAAATCTCACAGACTAATTGCATTTCACACATTTTTAATGTACAGATAAGCAGTGGCAGCATCCCGTCAGGGGTTTCCCTTGGATTTTAACACTGATATCATTTTAATTTACTCATTTTCAGCAGAGATGTAGACAAAATGTTTGTGCCAATTTCATGAAACTGAAAATAATATGAAGTGGAAACAGATAAACATGAGTAAGCATCATATTGTCCATGTATGCATGTGCGGATGTATGTATATTTGGGAGATACTGTGTGGATGCATTTGTATTTACCAGTGCAAGAAATATGGGTCTCTTCTGCTCGGTTATCACATGATTGAGGATCCCAGGGGTCTGACTGACATTGCCACAGGGAGCTGTGTTGCTCAGTGCACTCAATGTGATCCAGCCATGTGGGCCCAGAACCTCTGCCATATTTGAAATCTCTTTCAATTTCCCCACCATCTCCACAGTTCAAGTGTTTGCATACAGTTACTGCAGTGAGTTGAGACATACGATTGGAGCAAATGCTCCCCCATGTCCCATTGTAGAAAACTTCTAGCCGTCCAGCACAGCCACTGCCATTCACCAGCCTCAGAGCCAGGAACTCTGAAAGTGAAGGCATAAAAATGGAATCAGATGACATGATTCAACACACATTTCATCGTCTTGTTTCTAAAGACCAACCATTCAGTAAGCATTACTCTTCAAATAATAGGGGCCACTTCCTCAGTGATTTTGACTGTTGTGCCAATCCTGTGTACTGTGTAGGACTTCCCTGTTGTTGGGAATGCTCTCCAAATCCTTGCTGCAAATGAAGCTCCCCAGCAACTGCGAATCTGGATGATGGTAAAGTATTAGGGCAATTGGTGATGTATCTTTCTTAATGACTATTGCTATTATTCATGCAGTAACAGTGAGGCACATTGCCTTGTTCTGTTTTATTCTTGCTGTATCATTGCACTTATTATCTCAGTGCTTTAAACTGAAGTAAAGATAAACACACTTCTTTAATGTGGTGTCTGTGACCTTTGTGCTGACCCTGTCCACTGGTAAACAGTCTGGCACTTGACAGTTGATGACCTCCTTCTGCACAACGTACAGCCACAGCCTCTTGATGTAGCAACCCTCCAATTTATCCCCGAAATCCCTCAGCATACACTTTTGCGTGTACATGTGTGAATGCCAAATAAGTACACCCTTTGTGATGATGGGCCGTGCTTGCAGACAGGAGAGAATAACAAGCTGTTCAAGCAAGACTCCACCAATTCTCAGCTTTCCCATTTGTGTTCTCTTCCAGCTCACAGGCTATGAAATGTATTCTTTGAACATACCTGAGCATAGGACTCCAGCGTCCTCTTTGTGTTGGCAGTTGTGATGACCCCATACCCTAGAGGGGCATGCCCAGATATTGGATTCAGACCCAGTGCAGTTCACATCATCCAGCCAGATTTGCCCTGACCCTTCTCCATAGTAAGCAGAGTCTAATGCTTTGATGGCATATCCACATCCCAGCTGTCTGCAAACAACATTTGCATCTGATAGATCCCAGTTATCATCACAGATAGTGCCCCAGATGCCATCATGATAAAGCTCCACTCTCCCAGCACAGCGTTTTGTTCCATTCACCAGCCTCATCTGCCGGCTCTCTGCAGGAAGAAAATGCAACTGACAATATTGAATATATTGATAATGCACTGGTCAATTTAATGAGCGTATATTTAAAGCACATTTGAGGCATCATGTTCTTGTTAGATTCCAGTTCATTTATTATGATTTCTTAGGTAGAACTCCTGTGATGCTAAAACCACATCAAGGCAAAGGATTACTCCTGCAACAGGTGAATGTTTAAGTAATTCCTGTTGGTTACTGCAAATGGGTAGCGGTAGTGTAGTTGTGGTAAGTATATGCAGACATCACCTTATTTTAGAAAGTCTGAGAAGCTGTTTTCTAATTAAACGCATTTAGATCAGAAACAGGTTCTGCAACAGATGCGTTAAAAATTAAGAGATGTAGCAATAGTTGTTTGTGCGTATATCTAGAAAGACTGCATGTGCATACACATATATAGAAGAGTCACAAAACCAAATCTATTCAGTTCTTTGATGTCAGTTCAAATGTGGATAGTCACTGACAAATTAATGCTTTTATGACTTTCGTATTGTTATTTCTTTTTGATTCTGTGAGCTAAATTCTTTAAGAATTTCAGATGAAGAAAGAAATGTGTGAATTTCACTTGCTTCTTTGACTACCATTTATCTCTTAGTGTCTACAAGTAGGTGAGTTTCACAAGCTCTGATCCATGCCTATTTAAGATCTGGTAAGACCACAGCACAAGGTTGGCTAGAGACAACCCTAGAAAGCATTCTGTTCTTTTTACACAGTGACTCACCAGAGCAGATCACACCAACATCTTCAGCAACTCCTGCTGACAGCGCCTGAGAATGGGAGGTCTTGCAGAGCACTAGCCGAGTCTCATTTCCATCACACTGGACACTTCTTAAGCCCACAGGACCGATGCCTCGTTCAGACCTTGGAAGGTAATAGGCTCTCTTTGCTATTCCACATTGGAGCTGTCTGCATACCACATGAGCATCTTTGATGTTCCAGTCGTCATCTAGGACTCTGCCCCATATGCCATCAAGGGAGATTTCAACACGCCCATCGCAGCGGCTCTGACCATCTGAGAGTCTGAGTGATTCAGCAAGACCTGGGCTCAAAAGGTTTGGAAAACGCTATGAATAAAATTTTCTGCTGTTATCACAGTAGAAATAACATGCAGGGGACAGATGGAAGTCAAAATTATATGATGGTAAAGAGTATTTCACACCAGCGATTAAGGAGGTAGCCTGTGGTAAGGCTTTGATTGCTTCTATGCCCAGAAGATTTTGCAACAGGAAGCAAGATAGACATACCCAGCTAAAAGGTTAGATCCTCCTAGAATCAGGCACATCTAAATAATATGATTTCCTTTAGAGTGAAATCCTACTAAATGAAGTTTTTATGCTGAAACTGGGGACAGAAGTGTGATGGGTGGGTGGTAAAGGAAGGAGAAGGACATTAAATATAAGCTGACATATACAACTTGGCAAAGTGAGATCACCAAGATTGCTTTGGTCTGAAGTTACAAAACCTGAGAAAAAACATTCCTGACTTACCTGAGCAAACAACAGTGGCTACTTCTTTGGCTGAACAAGTTGGATTGCCCAAAGTCACTTGAGCACAGTCCCACAGGCAGGACTCTGTCCCTTCACAGTGAAAAGCATCTCTCCATACAGGTCCATTCCCATCCACAAAACTGTCTCCTGTCTGGATTGACTTTGCATAGCCACAGTTCAGTTGATAGCAGAGGACGTTAGCAGCCTGCAAATTCCAGTGGGAGCGGCAGAGTCTTCCCCATGTATCTCCATGGCGGATTTCCACTCTGCCTGAGCATGTGCTGCCATTCGCTAGTCTGCCCCCTGGGCACCCTGAATATAAGAGAAAATGAATACCAAGATGTCATACTGGTAACTGCTCATGAGCATGAACTAAAAACTGGCTTGGAAATGGAAATAAATTTTCCTTAGCAATAGAAAGAAGCAAAAATGGCCACTGGCCACAAGAATTTCCATACATATAACTAGATTTTAGTTTTACTAAAATTAAAAAATTAAAAAAATGCTGTTTTACTGAGAAGAATGATTAGAAATCAGAACCTGATCTGCAATTTTTGAACTTGAGGCACTAGATTTCAAGGCTCTGAGTGAACCTAAACTCCTCTGACCAGATGTATCTGGGTCTCTCAACTCAGGCCATTGGTCCAAGGACTCAATTAAGCCTGAACCAGGCCTTCAGTCCTTGCCTTAACTATGTGGTTGGTGTAACTGCCCTGTCTTCTGCTGTTCATTTTTCTCTCCAGTTCAGCCCTCTGTGTTCAGATGCTTCAGACTATACCCTGGTGGATGCACTCATATTGTCTCACCATCTGGACCCAGCTCGTTCTCTCCTCAGGAGCAGCCCTTCCCTTGCTCTTGCCTGGCACAAAGAGGGTTTTATAGAGAGTGAGCAGCCTTGTGGTAAGTGCAGCCTCAGCTCTTGGAAATACCTGTAGCAGCAGGCTAAATACAGAGATTGGCTATACAGATACCCCCTGGTTTTTGGGTCCATACTGTCTCAGAGAAGCCATTTTTCATTTCTCCTCTTAGCCCTTTCCATTGCTCACCTGAGCACATCACACGAGCAACATTTCCAGCAGGGCATTCGTTCTGATCTAGAACACTCACAGAACAGTCTTTCGAGTATGAGCCATTCTTCTTACAGCTGAATGTACCGTTCCAGAAAGACCAATTTCCTCTTCCAAAGGACTGTCCATCTGGTATTGACAGTGCAACTCCACAGTCCAGATGCTGGCAGAGGTCATTGGCAGCTGGAAAACTCCACAAGTAGTCACAGAGCGTTCCCCATGAGCCTCCATGAAGAAGCTCAACTCTCCCTGTACATGTGGTACTGCCATTTGACAACCTGTATCCGCCATAGCCTGCAGGAATAATGAAGGACTTAAGCATTTGTATTATTATTTATTGCTATCACATTGAAAATTGTAAGAGAGATCTAGACTACTAACCCTTTCTGTGTCCCAGGCTACTGGGTAGAGTGGTAGAACAGGAAGCACATAAATCAGGTAAATTTATCATAAATTTGATTTATGATAAATCAAATCATAAAAAACAGGAAGCCCGTACTACATCGCTGAAAGTCTTTTAACTCCTGAATTTCCTTCTCTCCTTCTCTGCTTTGTTCTCTTCTCCCCCCAGAATGCTGCTGCTACTTTGTAGAATATATATATATATATATATATATATTTTTTTTTTTGGAGAGACAATCTTTAAATTCCTGTCTTGCTTTAGTTGTGTGTTTGGGAAACACAGAATAGGAGCTACTAGTTGCATTTTCTCTCCAAGTAGCAAGTCCTCTCACATTAATCAGTAACCAGTTCAGTGCAATTCTCAACTTTCATGTATGTAACAGCACAAGGTACAAAATACAAAAGGTCATGTCCATCAGGTAATGATTCACAATTATTTAAGTATGATGTGGAGTGTCCTACTGCAATCCCCATGCAGTTGTTCTGACTTTTCATACTGTTATACTGCCTACCCTTGCCTCACTCTTGCACAATATTCCTTCTAACGAAACCTCTGAGCTATGAATCTTGCAGGACAGGAACAGGAGCCAAGACCTCTCAGTCATAGGCATCTTAACTAGGCTGTCTGGCTCCTCAGAGGGCTGCAGAGCACAACAGCCAGCATGACATTTCCAAGGCAGGTTTGAAACTGACTGCAGCCCTTTGACTGGAAAAGTCTCAGGGAGACCACGTCACTCTTTACAAATGCCTCAAAGGTGGTTGTAATCAGGTGGGGGTTGGCTGCTTCTCCTAGGTAACTAGTGATAGCACAGGAGGTAATGGCCTTGAGCTGTGCCAGGGGAAGTTCAGATTGGACATCAAGAAAATTTCATCTCAGGAAGAGTGGTGAAGTACTGGAACTGGCTGCCCTGGCTGTTCAAGAAAAAGGCAGATGTGGCACTGAGTGGCATGATATAGTGGTCATGGTGGTGATGGGTTGATGGTTGAAATAGATGAGCTTAGTGATCTTTTCCAACCTTGACAGTTCTTTGATTCTATTTTACGATTCTGTGGCTGGGAAATGCATGAAATGAACTTCTTTACATTAAATATTTGTAACTTATGCCTCTATGATTTTGCGTAAGTCTGTAGTTGTACCTCCCCCAGTTTTATAATTAACTGAAGTACCAGAGTTTAACACACACAATAGCAGAGAAGAAAATGCATTTTGCCATGTTCCTGATTATCTGCTCTGGTCACCTCTCCTTTTATGCATATGAGAAAGACAAGGAAGGAATTCCAAACGCTACGGAGCTCATACCTCTACTAACATAAGAGAAATTACAGATCTTTTGAGACCTCCATCCATGGTGACAGAGTGAAATTGTCACAAAGGATGCATTAAACGCAGACTCTCAGTTGAATGAAGGAGATTGTGAGGCTGCTCTCTTTTACTCTTTTACTCCTGGCCCTTCCTTGAATCTCTCAGGCATAATAGGGGAAGAAGCCTAGAACCATAGAAATATGCAGAGGCTCAGAGTGGTGGGCTGCCAGGAAGAAAACTTGGGATACATATAAACTATATCCATCAGTCCAAAGTCTCACCTGAACATAGAACATAAGCATCATGAGAGCATGCCTTACTATGCTGCAACGTCCTGGGACAGTGTGCAAGGTGAGTCTCATTCCCCACACAGTGGAACTTTTCTTGCCAGATCAATTCATGTCTGCCTCTAAAGTGAGCTCCTCTCAAGACATCCACAGCCTGGCCACAACTTAGCTCACTGCATATAACAGAGGCAGCATTGAAATCAATGTATGAGTAACAGACCGTAGTCCAAGTTTCTTCTTGCTTTATTTTCAGGTGTCCTGAGCAGGCAGTGTCCCCACCAGACAGATGCAGCCCTGAGAAACCTGTGTGGTGGGGAGAAGGAGAGAAGAAGGAGAAAACAAGAAGATCAGTATTGAATGTTGATTATGCTGGTCTAATTTAATTTCTCTCGTGCATTCATGGGCAAGACACATGGAATGCACATCTCTGAGGACCAGTAACTTCTAAATAGCTGTTGTGGCAATATCTGTATGCTGCTGGCAAGAGAAAAATGAGAGGAAAAAAACAGCTTATGGGAATGTTTGTGTTTTTAGTACATGAAAATATAAAATCTTGAACAAGTGCTCAGAAAGCCCTAGAACAAGGGGAATTTTGAACATTTGCAACTTGTTTGAACAACAGTAATCCACAAATAAATAAATAAACCCATAAGCATTTACAAGTGTATGTCCTCAAGTCTTCACTATTCAAAGGAATAGAAGACTGAAGTGCCTCAAAAAGAAGAAAACCTGTATTATACAAATATCAAGGGATTTCCAGAAGAATATAGAGCAGAGTCAACTACGAAACGCCTCTATAGTATGAACTGGAAGTCTACAGGTTTATTAGTTCAAGTTCAGCACTGCTGATCCCCATAGGCTTTGTTGAACACCTTTGCACATCGCTTCATGAGCTTCATATTTCTGGAGATCTTGTTCAGGCAAGGCATACTACATGAAAGTTAGCTGTGCAGACCCTGAGTGAAGCCCATCTCAGTTTTGATCAAATGTGTCAGCTAAGGCACAGCAGCTTGTGAGAGAAACGACCTGTCCTGAAAACAGCATTGCACTGCTTTTCTTCTGTGGCATTGCACACTGTAGTAGTAGACTTGCTTCCACTCAGATGGGGCTACATGTAGCCAGCTCAGTGTCTATGTCTCACCTGGTGTTTGTTTTTTTGTTTGTTTGTTTTTAGCTCCACTCAATAACATTTTTGAAGTTCTATAGGTCTTGCATAAAACACTGTTTTTTTCTTTGGTGTTTGCATTTTATTCAGCTCCACAGCTCTATTAGCAGTGAAGTACTTCATATCATAACAGTTCCACCACTGTTCATGGGTGAGATATTTATTTTATATGCTTTTCTTCTCAGCAGATGCAATATGGAAATAAGTAATGGATTTGTTTTTGTGCAGTACAGACAATCACCACAATGAATTTATAGCTGTGCAGGTGCATGGAAAATGTTGTTCACATGAGCACCAACAGTGCAGTCAAGGGAAATCTCAAGTTTATCAAGAGTGACTCCACAGAGTGTGGGAGAGTTTGTGGCTTTGAATCAAAGGAGAGGCTAGTAAGGCTGATCTTGTGGTGGGAGTTTGTTACAAACCACCCATTAAGGTGAGGAATTGGGTGAAATCTTCTATAAACAAAAACAGAAAATCTCCAAATCACACATGTTTATGCTGTCATTGGCAAAACTACTGAGCACATAATGTGTTTAGTTTTCAGACCCTCACTTCAAGGATATTGGTTTTCACAAGCATGTGCAAGGAAGAGCAATGAAGTTGGTGAAGGGAATGGAAGATTTATGAGGAGCAATTAAGGGAACTAGGATTGTTTAGTCTGGAGAAAAAAGAGGATGAGGGGAGACCTCATTGCTCTCTACACCTAAAAGTTGTCTCTTTTATCATATGACTAGTGATATGACACAAAGGAATGAGCTGAAGTTGTGGCAGGGGAAGTTTAGGCTGAAAATTAGGAAGAATTTCTTCACAGAGAGTGTGGAGAACCATTGGAATGGGCTGCCCAGGGAAGTGGTGGAGTCCTCATCCTTGCATATATTGAAGAAACACAGACATGACATCTATTTGGTAGCAAGGAGGAACTTGTTTGGTTGGGGTTACAAAAATCTTTGGTAGCCTTTAGTCACTCTGAAATAGTGGATTTCCAAATATTAAGTGGGGTGAGAAAGAAGAAAAAGTGCAGAGCAAACAGAGAAAGAATTTTACCTAAATAAACCCATGGGATGCAATGCGGTTTATCTAAACTGACCAACTTTCTTTCAAGTCCACTCTCTCTAAAAAGAGGCCATTTTCAAAAGGTTATAGAGATTATATCCCTAGCAATAGGAAAAAGGCAGATGTTGCACTCATCTTCAGAAAAGGATGAAAAGACGACCTGGAGAACTAAACTACAGGCTGGTCAGAGAAAATCATGGGGTGAGTATTCTAGGAGCATATTTCTAAGCAGGTGAAGTGAGAGGTGAGCAGGTGAACAAGGAGAGTCAGCATGGATTTTCCAAGAGTAAACCATGCCTATGTGACCTGATTGCTTTCTCTGAAAAAAGGACTGATTTGTGAATGATGGGATAAGAGCAGTACGTACCATTCGCCTCAAATTCAACAAGGTCTTTGAAACTGTTTTGCACAATTTTTGTGTCTTGTAACAGTCTCAATGAGTGAATTACTAGATGGGCAAAAAGCTCATCAGTCAGCCTCAGATTGTAGTTCTTAGTGAATTGCACTCAACCTGGAGGCTGGCAACAAGTGGATTACCACTGTTGTCTTCCCTGAGATCTGTTCCGTTCTGTATCTTCATCAGCATCCTAGAGAGCTTGATGGAGTAAACTTTTACTGAGCTGAGATAACCTCAAGGGCAGAACTGCCATTCTGGTGAACACAGAAGGAAGTAATAAGTTGACAGGAACCTTATGAAAGTCAAAAAGAATGAATGTGAAGTCTTGAAGAGAGGAAAGAACCTCTTGCAGTGCTTCAGGGAGCAAAACCAAGCACATATTGCAAGCGAAAACACTGAGCATACACTGGATTTCTTTGCCATTCCAGAAATTCCTATCTTAGCTTACAGGAAGATCTAAAGGAGGAGGATGCTTGGATAGCATAATACAGAGTGTTCTTGCTTCCCCATCTACACCCTCTCTTTAGCTTCCTTTCCTGGCCAAAAGCAAGTTGATTATTGCTCTCATGTTGACTGCAAGAGGCATGGTAGAAAGAAATGGTGTTTCTATTTCTGTTCTGTGTGATTTACTATGTCTATTTCTGTTGTATATCATTGCTGTGCAAAGGCAAAGCAGACACACGTTTGTGGTCAGCAGAAGTTTTAATTGTTATTTGGGTTATACTTATTTGGGTTCAGAGGCCATGGAGGAAGTGTTACCTCTGTGCTGACCACATTACTAGACTATCCATTTAGGACAAAGATTGATCTCAGTTCCTTTGTATTGTGGGAATTGCTCTATTATTAAAGGTTATATAACTTCTTACCTGAGCAGATCACTCCAACGTCAAAATAATGAGGGCAGGTAAAGCCACCCCAGCCTGCATGAGGGCAGTTCCAGAGGGCAGATTCATTACCATGGCACTCTACTCGATACAACCATGTAGGTCCAGATCCTTCTCCAAAAGGAGCTCGGTTAAGGGCCTGAACAGCAGACCCACATCCTACTTGCTGGCAAACAACCTCGGCATCTTCTGTATTCCAGTCACCATCACACACAGTTCCCCACCGATCCTCATGTTTTACTTCCACTCTCCCAGAGCAGGGGCTAGTTCCATTTATCAGCTTCAATTCATCATCTCCTTCATAAACAGAGACAGAAGAGGGTTATGAATATGACATTCTAATCATTACAATCTTTTGCAGATGATTAATCAGATTCTTATTACTCCTAAACCTTATTTTTAAGAATCACTTTCTAAATAGTCCCATATAAAGTTCTCGTTTGTTTTGCTATCAGGGTGTTACGTGTGTATTTACAAGTTTGAAAAAACTGAACTGCTAAAATGTAAGTTATTTCTAATTACATGCAAGCTGTCTCTGCTCCTGACCTATCAGAGATGGAAAATGCCAAGAAATGCCCATAGCCTGTGCCTCATAAGGGCTTCAGTAGATGTATCTCCTTTCTTGTTATTGTTCTTCCTCACTTTCTTCCTCTCAGACAAACTATTATTTGCAACTAAGTGCCCTCCAAAGTCTCTCTCTTTTTTTTTTTTTTTTTTTTTTTTTTTTTTTTTTTTTTTTTATATATATATATATATACCCTGCCATGGACACAGTCCTCCTGGTCAGGGGTACATGACAAGAAGAGATGTCTCATGCAGATATCGTCATGGGCTGGTGACCTGTTCTGGGAGATGCAGCAGGATAAGCAGAAGATGGGCAGGTAGGTAGGTATTCATCTTGTTCCTCATGCCCCACCCCCTCTTGATGTAAAAATTATCCTCAAAGAATCCTCTTCTTCTCTGCTTCCAGTGCCTGCTGCTCTGTGATCCTCTGTTTCCAGGCTTATTTCTCTCCACTAATATCAAAATTCCACTAATATTTCAATTCTTCTACAAATTGTTCCACACAATGTTACAGTCTGTACAGAGCAGATGACAGTCTGACAGAAGAGGGAAGGCTCACATGAGGTTTCCTTGCTTTATTATGTTGGACTACTACTATAAAAGCTTCAGCTACTATACAGAAGTCTAGAAAAAGGACCTAAGAGCAAGAAAACACAAGAAGAATTTTATTACATTCAAATGCAGGAATGATTATGAGACATAGAAGCAACTCATAGAAAATAAAGCTACACCATAGCCTGCTTGAGCTTAGAAAACAGGATAATAGATTTGAGTTGTATTTTACAAAGACATCAGGAAAACGAAGGTAGATAGTCTAGTATGTAATTACAGGGGAAGAAAAAACTGTTCAGGAATTGTTTTTTGTTTTTGTTTTTTCCCCTCAAAAAGTCAAAGGTTTTAAGGTAAGAGTTTTGGAGCAGCTTCTCCTTAAAAAAAAAATTCTTTGCTTGCAGGAAGATTTTACTTGCTTGACTAAAAGGCAAAAACACTGAGTTAGTATTCTGAATCCTAGCAGACAGTAATTTAGTGTAAATGCCACTGAAAACAAACAATGAAACAAAAAATAAAGATACCTCCTGCAGATTCCATTAAGAACAATTACTGTTGTATTGAAACAATAAAGATGACATTCAGATCGTTAGGTTTTGTGTTAGGAAGTTCATCTTCCCATGCAAAGGAGCACAGATAAACAAAGGCAGGCGGGGAAACCTTAGTAATCCAATCAGAGAAAAAGGCTCCTGCTGTGGCACTTCCTGGGACTATCCCAGGATATGGGACACTGTATGAGATACAAAAGAAAAGCAGCCAAAGATTGCTTGGGAAGGAGAAAGTATAGCACAACAGAAGGGTAAATGGACACAAGGGACAAATAGGCTGCTTCTCAGCTGACTTGTGCAGCTATGACATGCGCTGTCTGTTTCTTTTTACTTTATTCTGTGCACCTATGTATGGCTGTACCAGCAGCTGGTGCCGGACCATGGGTCACAGAAGTCCATGTCTTTGATACCAGCAACTAGAACAAATGAGGGCATGTTAGTGTGTGACTGCTAACGCATATCAAGCTGGGCTACCGAGCGAGTAGATTAAGTAAATTAAGTCGGGCATATCTAATTTGTAGCCCATAGGCCACATGCAGCTCAGCACATCTTGCAGTGCAGTCCAGTCCAGCCCCTCAGTGTCAACCAAACATCAGTGTGCTAATAACCCCATCTGGGCTGAAACAAGGGCATGGCACACAGTGCAGTGCCAGCTCATGTGATAGCAAATAAGTTTATAGATTTTGATACACTGACTAAACACAGTCCTGTAAAGAGCAAAAAAAAATATGCAGCTATGCTTTCTATTTTGATAAAATAATGAGAATAGGTTTCAAAATAGTTAAACCAAAAACTTGATGATTTTTTCGTTTGCAGCTGAAACAACACATCGTTTGTGCTCTAAGGCTGCTATACTTTTGCCTTGTTGTGCAACTGGATAGATATAAATCACGGAAGAAGTTCAGCAGAATAAGAAAAAATAGGGGAGTCTAATAATATTCCACAATGCTTTGTGACTTGGACAAAAATTCCAGGATTATCCAGAAGAGTGCTAAGTATGCTAACAAACTACTTAGAGATTTTGAATTCCATAAACATCCCATCTACAAGGAGCAAGGTGCATTGACATCCTTTACTTTCAGAGCATAAATAATCAGTGCCTTCACAAGAAGGAATTTTTAAGAACAGTTTTATCAAGTAATGAGAGATGAAAGCAGTGATAACAAGCCTTAAACCTTGGGATAGACCTTGGGATAGAGGCTAACCTCAAATGAAGCATGCAATTATTTGCTTGACATACATGCATATTTGAATTACACACAATACTGAAATACTTGAGAGGCATTTTATATTTCATAGTAAAAGGAGCTCTGGTGATTTTGTTCTGGAACTAAGAATCTTGGGGCACATTTTTTAAATTGAAGTTTGCTCAGTGACAGTTAAATCATTCAGTACTTGTGCTCATCTGTTACCAATGTTGGGTCCTTGTGTAATACTATAATGGGATGATAACAGTAGGGTAGCAAAGTCTCTGACTACAGCAAATGAGAACAAGCCCAAAGGCAGCAGCCACAGATGCAGGAAAATAATTGCTCACCTTTGGAAGGCCTCAGGTAGGCAGGGATCTCTGGCAGGAGATACCCTCACCCCCACTGCTGTCCCTTAAATGAGGTCTGGGAAGGAGTGGATCCTGGCTACACCCCTCCCATTCACTCAGCTCCCCTGAGTTGTCCCTGCCTTCGCACCAGGTGCTCAATTATTGTTTCAGGCCATGAATTAGTGCCTCCACTACAGTTGAAACAAACTTGTTGGATATGATCTGTCCCCTTCTCAAAGAGAAAACTTAAAAGGAAAAAAACCTGTGTGAATTGTCATCTCCAAAGAAGACGACATGGCTGAAAATTAAAATGACAAAAAACCTACCATATGTGGGACCTCTATATTTCCAGGTGAAAGATAGTAAAAGATAAGTACATGCAAGGACCAGAGATTCATCTAAAACTTAATTAGATATGAGTTTCAGCATATAAAGGAAAGTGAAAATCTCTGAGGGATGCTAGTAACTTCTTTTGGAGCATGGAAGGCCACTCAGGTTGTTCACATATCTAAATGAGGGTAACAGAAGAGTCAGATAAGAAGACTAACAACTTTGACCCCAAACCAGAACTGTTTCAAAACCTAGCTTACAATGGAAAATTAATCCAAAGTTTATAAATAAGATTTGATCTGACTGTCAACGCCGAGTTCACTAACAAATCTTATTGGCCTTGACTTGCCTCAGCTGGGGTCTCCACCCATGCATCCTGCCCATATCTCTGGGGCTCCATTTAAGAATATGTCTGCAACTTTTGTCACTGCCTCAGATGCATTGTAGGTGTGCTTGCATCCAACTTAAACACAGCTGAGTCTGGCCACAGTCTCTATAATATGCATGCTGACCTGCAGATTGCTGCCATCACTGGAGCTTGTCCTGATCTGTATAGCAACTTCCAATTTGACTTTGAATGTGCCCCTTCACCACGAACTTGCTTATGATCTGGGCTCTTACTTGAAACTCACTACTGCCTTGCTTGCCTCTCTTAGGTACTTGAGCCTGGGCCCTTACTGGTGAGACCTACGTCCTGCTGGCCATGTTATCATGGGAGCAGATGGCATTGGCTGTACCCTTGAAAGATACTTGTAGGAGATCTAGAGAAGTGACAGTTGCAAGCAGTCTAGAAAGACACTTCTCAGAGTAAATCAATGGTAGTATCTGATTAGCAACAGAGAAGTAATTAAATTTTAATAAGACCCTCAGGTTTTCCTGGAAGAGTTCTCAAAACAATACGGATTTGGAAGCATCACATTTTCTCTCTTCCTCAAACGAGAGAGATGTTCCTACAGATCACACTTCTTGCTGCCATTTGACACAGTGAAACAAAAATAAATCGTTTTGCTTTTTATTTTAAATCAATTCTAATTCCTCTCAATTCCTCGTGTCAGCGCTAACACAGAAATTGATAAAGCTACTTCTTTCAGCAACTAATCATAATCTCTTTCCAAAGCAAACTGCTAGCAGTAGTTGACCAAAATGCAGTTGTCTCCATCCGCATGTAGTCTGATTGTCTCCTGGTTCAGAGGCAGATAATATGGCACTGACACAGAATTGCTCTTGTACACAGGCAAAGGTTTTGCTTCTGTGCTAATACTGCTGCACTTCCCCACAATTTCCTGTCTGTCATTTAGATTCAGAAACATGAAGAGATTATTCAAGTGGATGACAAGTAGCAACATCTGAAGATATTTTTGTACAAACTGTCTTCTTTTCTCAAATTTCCTGAGTAAAATTTTCTCAAATACTTAGCACAAAGAGCTACAAAAAGCCTTTGTACTTGAGATGTATTTAAAAACAAACATTTAATAAAGATAACATTTATAAATTAAAGTCATCATTCATTATTAAAGGAACCAGATAACCTATTTCTATTAGCCACATTCAGGACTAAAACAAACAGATCCTCAATTGATTAATCTGTTTCTCTGCACTTGAATATTTAAGTGCAGAATCTGACATACTATTTTCAGCACATGACAGAATGCAGGTCTGAATGCAGAGGCAAAGCTAGACAAAACATACCCAACAATTTTTAATATACTCTAATTGAAACTGTCATCTGTTGAAATCAATCTATTGTGATGTTTTTTATGTTACCTATAGACATATTACCTCCACTCACACTCCACAGCATATCCTAACAAGGACCAAGTTTAAATTCAGTGGTACTAGTTACAGGATGAGGTTCTGCTTGGGTAAAAGGGTGTAAAATTGGGGCTTGTTCCCGCTAAAGACCTGGTTCCCCTCGCAGACCAGGAATAAGAATGAGGCATGCAGTCCTTTTCCCAGTGTGTGTGCATGCGTGTCAAGATTTCAGCTCACTTCTGATGTGCTTCTGATATTGCCTGCACTCTCCAAAGTCCCTGTGGACAAACAGGGGGCTGTGATAGCATGGAATACGCAAGTATGGTCAGAGCCAGAGCAGATGCGTGGGTTGTCAGTGCTGATAATGGGGTGTCAATGTAAAACTACTCCCATCTACATTGTAAGGCACTCTTTTACTGCTTCCTCTTATTATAAAATTGGCAGATAACTTACTCTTTAGTACAGTTCTGCTACAGAGATGTCTAAATACAAGTCTGTAATATTGCTGTTCACACTCCTTTACACAGAAAGTCCCATGCCACTTCTTCCCATCCATTTGCATCCACACAGCTGGTGGGAGCCTCTAAAACTAGGTCTCTGCTACATTAGGGAAAGTATCAACCATGAAATCTTATTTTCATCATACAAGGGTGCAACCGTCAGGCATAGTGCTATGTTACTAACTCCATGTGTATAGAGACAAAAATATGAACTCCAAAATCTGGTTCTTATAGTTCATTTCAAATATGTACACGTAGCCCTACAACAGCATGGGGATAACTAGTGTTAAAATTCAAACATACAGGAACAATGGAAAGGAAGATACTACCCAGTCAAACACCACTGCACACAGCAGCATTTTAACTGGGTTGAAATAAAGACCTAGAGTTATTGACTCCATCTACACAAAGCTCAATGGGGGATACAAGACAGTAGTAAAAAATACCCAGTGGGCTTCCATTACAGCTCAACTGTTCACTGAACTTGGACTTGAACTCTGTAAAAATGTCAGATAGCTAATATGTCAGTAAAATATAGCACTCTTACAAATGGCTTATTTTTTTCTGCCAGGATCACCAAGGAGTTCGAATTAAGTACAAATGTATTTAAACACTTTCTTGACATTTTGCCTTACAGACTAATGGAATAACAACCAATTTATACTGAATTCACATTCTCTTCCTTAGCCAAGTACCTTATGCAAATTAATGTACTTACCTAGGGAAACCTGAATGGTGAGGAGAAGGAGCCACAACACTAAAGCTGAAAGACATCCTTTCATTGCCATCCTTACTGTGGCTGGATAATTTAGGCACTATATAGACCAAACTCTCTGCATGCGTGTCTCTCTGCGTCAGAAATAACTACGAAGGAGGAAATATATAGGTTCACATCCTAGCACAAGCTACATGAAGGAACCAATAGAAATATTGTTCACCTTTTTAGACATTATCAGCAGATAATCTCAAATCTGAAAGAACCAAAACCTCCAATAAAATTTGAAAGTTGTACCTGTGACCATATATGTGGAATGTCTGCGTTTCTAATGTCACCATCGAGATCGTCATTTCACTATTGGCATCAACCTGTGGTACAAGAAGAGTAATGTGTAAAATGGTTATTTCTCAACTGATAAAGCAATATGGAAGTGCAGAACATTGGTCTCGCTTTGGAATGAAAAAGGGAAAGAGAATTCTTACATTTGCAATTTATCAATCTCCTTGGGAACAACTGTGCTCTCATTATAAAATCCAAACAAGAGGGTCTTACTGCTGGTGGTAGCATTGTGAATAACAAATGACACTCTATCTTTGTGGTGAGGATTGCTCAGGGATTCCTTATTTGGTTAAAACCTGAGGATAGTATGGGCTTTTGAAAGACCATCTTCCTTAGGATACAACTTATAGGACTTCCTGTCTTCTCTGCACTGGGGCATGTCGCAGCTGTCTGTATCATATCCTTTAGCTCTATATCTGAGACTGCGTACCCATAGTGGGTATCAAAGCAGGGGGGAGGAGGGGGTTCCTGATTTGCCACAGGGACATGATCGAAGTCCCCTTAGAGACGAATACAGGAGTCTTGATTGTGATGTCTGCAGGCTATGTACCTATTACCAGCGGAACTACTTATCTCCCAGCCTCCAATAATCTCCCCCAGCGTGCAAATAGTTCACACCATTTTAGTCCTACTTGCATCTTCCAAGGTCATTCTACTTCACTGGTACCTGGTTCTAGGTTCTCAGGGGCAGGGAGCAGAAGATTATTTTCATTGCAAGTTTGGGGTCTGACCTGATCATCAGTGCCCATAATTGGGATCCTAAGTGGGGACACCAATGTTGTCAGTAGCATCTTCAGGGCACTGAGTCTGCTGTTTCTAGGCCTTTCATTTGGGTCTCACAGGGTTTCATGGAGTCTTTTCACCCACCCCCACATAGCCTGAGAGTCTGCCTTCAGGACAGACTTAAGAGTGCCATTATAATGTTCAACAAGGCCTGCCCCAGTTATATCATATGGAGGTGGAATCACCATTCAATGTTGTTTTCTTCTGCATGGTGCTATACCACTGCAACAGTGAAACGAGTACCTTGGTTACCCTCAATGACTTGAGGTGTCCCATAGGTGGCCATCAACTTGGAGAGTGCCTTGACAGTGTATGACTGGTTTGCTCTTGGCCCTGGATAGGCCTATTGTTCTTTGTGCAGCATTACGCAGCTTCTCCTGTAACCAGTGGGTGATGTTCTTCGATTGAGGATTCACCATCCACAGAACTTGAGCCAGTGTGCTGGCTTCATTATTTCCTGGAGAGTGCAGAGTTTGGTGGCTAGAGATGTGGTAGACATTTATGGTCCCGTGTTTAATCACATTCCATATGTCTAGCCACATATCTCTACCCCAGATATGTTGGGCACAAGCAGTCCATTCCTGGGTAGTCCACTGTGCAGTCCAGAGAGTGAACCCTGGTACACAGCCCAAATATCTATGCAGACATTCAGTGTACCATCACCGGGTTCCTTGGTTATAATCATCCACATGGCTAGCAGTTCTGCCCATTGAGTACTCTGACCACACCACTCTTCAAATTAGATGGTTTCAGTAGAAGCATGGCATGCCACTGTTCTCCACTTGCTTGGGTTAGACTTGCTGGATCCATTCATACACCAGACATCTTCAGGAATGAAATATTTATCTTCCTGAAAGGGACTCTTCTCTGATGGAGCAACCATTGTCTCTACTGGCATGTCAGTGAGTCTACTGCCTTTTCTAATGCCTCTAGCGAGTCAGACGTCAACATGAGAACATTAATATAGTGGTACATTTCGATGTTATTAGGAGTATTCCACTCTGCTAAGTCATGCGCCACTAAGTTCTGACAATAAGTTGGTGAATGCACATACCCTTGTCAGTGGGACCTGAATGGGAATACTGAAGAATGCATTTGCCAAGTCTATGATACAACAGTAGGCTTCTATTTCCCAATCAGGAAATTTCCCAATCATGTGTCCATCAGGGGGGCAATATCAGATAGAGCTGCATGAATGGGCAACCTTGACCTTATTCTCTGTAATCCACTGTCATTCTCCATGTGCTGACTTCCGTACTGGGCGTATAACTATGTGCAGGTCTTATGATTCCCACTTTTTCTAGTTCCTACACTGTTCTTAAGATTTTCTCTTGCCTGCCCACCTGCCCACCTCCCCCTCCCAGCTGTCTATAATGTTTAGTATTAGTAATCTGGCACAACTCTGTCAGGTGAATAGGCTGTGTTTTGCATGGCCTCTTAAGATCACCTGTGCTACTCTGGGGCTGGGGCAACAGACACAATATACTCCCAGACTGGGAGATGCCCAACCCCCAGCTTCAATCATATCTGTATTACAGGGATGGTCTGTCCTCAGAACCCACCAGTCATCACCCTGTTTCCATGAAATTTAGTTAGATCACCATAAATAATGAACGTTTCTGCACTCGTGTTTCCTAATACCATCATTTGCCGTACATCATTCCAGGACCAAAAAGTGTGTAATTCAAATCAGAGAACGTAGGTGCAGGGGGGCTGGCATGCCCCATCACACAAGTAACTGTGAAATTGCCTATTCTTTTTCCTCAGGTGGCTCAGGTCACTTGAGGAGGCTTTTTCCTTTTGTTAGGGGCTATGAAATCTTCCAAGTTCCATGTTCTTGTTGATACTTGTCCAATAATTCTTACCCCTGTTTCGTTGAGGGTGTTCTGGAGTTTTCGACTTTCCTCCAGCTGCCTTTATAGCTGAAAGAGGATATGATTGGTTTGGCAATCAATTTTTGCCAATAGAACCCCAGTCTGGATTAAATCACTAAACATATGTTTTTGGGACACCTGTATGGGCCCCAGTTGAGAAGTCTGCGGGGCAGGTCTCCTAGTTTTAGTTACAGGGAGGACCTCAGCTCCTCCCAACATCTGGATATTGTGCCTGGTCCAAAGGCACTCTGTTTCTCCTAGATCTGCCACCAATTGGGTAGCTTGTTGAACAACAGCCTCTGGGTTACCAAAGGGATTATTATGGACATTAGTGAGCCTCTGGTAGGGAGGCACTTGTTCTGGAATGAGATCCCTCATCACTGAGGAGAATTTCCACCAGATCTGGACTCTCAGACTTGTCATCTTAAATCACTTCCTTCATTCCTGGTTCTCTGATATAACTTTGAAGTCCCTCTGTCAAAGTCCGTAGAACAGTATTTATTGGAATATTGCTTTTATTTGGCCACACAATCCTACATGCAGCCATTATTCATTAAATTAAAGAATTATTTTCATCATTATGCATTACAATCACATACAGTCTTTGTCTGAGGGCCAGATGTACGCGATAGATACAAGTTTAGAAATCTTTGGTCCATTAATAGCCACACTTTCGGCCTCAAAGTCCCATAACCTCAAGAACTAAGCTGGTATGCTCTCTAGTGATTTCTGTTTAAATCATTGTAATATATCCATGAGTTCGGTGGCCTTGTATGGGTGCATGTCACATGTAATGCAGCAGGGGCAGGGGGCCACTCCTGAGGTGGCAATCGTGCTGGTCTGTCTTGGACTTCCTCTGTTTTTTGATTTATTACTGGTCTTATTTCTAGAGAATTTGAGGTTCCTGGATCCTCTCATTGGACTTCAGTCATCTTCATTTTCCTTTTATTTTAGATTCAACTACGATCAAAGGATCCTGTTGATTTAAGTCCTTCTCTCTTTCTAATGATATAGTTCTTCATTTTAGAGGGGAAATGCCATTTGAAGGTCATGGAATGGCCTGTGTTGAAAAGGACTGTAATGATTATCTAGTTTCAACCCCCCTGCTATGTGCAGGGTCACCGACCTCTAGACCAGGCTGCCCAGAGTCACATCCAGCCTGGCCTTGAATACCTCCAAGGATAGGGCATCCACAGCCTCATTGGGCAGCCTATTCCAGTGCTTCAAAGGTGAGGCGGTTTACCACCTCGGAAGTGCAACTTCATTTTTCAGCTGCCTGATATGGGATTTCAAAAGCTCATTTTCATCTTTCAATCCTTCCTCAAAGGAATGATATACATTAATTGCTAGCAGTAGCTGACATGCTATAGAGGATGTCACTACACCTCTTTCCTCAGTTCTTAAGAATATTTGTTCAAATTTATTCAAAAATTTTGCCACCTGCCACCTTGAAAGGGGATTTGGTTATGAGACCATGCAGCATAATAATAATAATCCATACAGAACTCAGCTATTGGGAATCAAGGAAATTCAGGGTTTCACCTGGGAAGTTCCTCCTGTGGGGCATCACAGGGTCCCAACAACCAGCCAACACACTCTCCTTTTAAGAAAAAAAAAGTCCTAAATTCATACGCTTCTATCATGCCTGCCTGATGCACCAAGTGTAACACAGTTGAAAGTTCATCAATGACAGCAGAGCAGCAAGATCCCAGGCTGCAGTAAGTGAGGGTCCCCTCAAAAGCAACAGCCATATGCAAAGAAATAAGGAAGAAAAAAAGGGAAAAAGCTACTTACCTTCAGAAAGCTTCAGGTATACAGGGAGTCTCTATCAAGATACCCTTCTCTTCACTGCCAACCCTTATCCTGCCAACCCTGGATCCTGGCTCTCCACCCCTTCCAGTTATTCAGATGCATTACGTGCACCTGAGCTCCTCTTTCTTCCTACAAGGTACTCGATAATTGTTTCAAGCTGTGAGTTAGCATTTCCACTACAAATACCTAGTAATGTTTTATAAATAACTTTGAGGATGTATTCTCACTTGACCTGGATATAGCATATTTCTCTCTATATAATGTTTTCGTATTTTTATATAATTGATGGGAGTTACTACAGGACTAGCTTGACTGTACTGAGAAAATATTGACATAAAATGGCTGCTAAGTACTTACAGGAAAAACTCACTGCCACCCTGGAAACCAGGTATAGGAGCTAGGATTTTGGCCTAGAAGCTTGGCCTGGGAACCAGGGACATCTTTGTGGGTTGCTGTTGGCATCCTAACACCTGGAGATGTTCTGAAGACCCTATTGATGAAACAAGAATTTGAGGAACACCATCATCTTGGAAAGGAGGCAGTTCTGAGAAATTTATCATCTGTTTCCTTAAGAAAGGGGAGTGAGACAGTAGCTCTGCTTAGCTATCCACTGATGTTAAAGCATCACACTGCCAAGGAGGATGCTTCAAGATATACTGCTCCTTGAGCAGCACTCTTGGCTGTGATGTAGTTTGATGACAAATAAAGCTGCCAGTTCATTATGTGTCTTCCTCAGCATGCTTGAAGCCAGGTTAACTCTGTAACTATTGTTCTATACTGAATCCCATCTGCCAAGTTACACACCAGGAACATTTATCATCAACACTCGTACACTCATAATCTGAGTTTCTGTGGCCAGGTATGCACCTTCACTGTAAACACATGGTAAAGCAAATAACCAGATGTGAACAGATCACTTAATGGGACTTCTTGTTGTTTTCTTATTGGCACAATCAGATAACTTACCTCATTTTAAGGAAAGCAAACTCTGGAGGAAATTAATCCAGACAGAGCTGAGTTGAGCCAGTTATGCTGAGAAATAATAGCTCTGCTATTATCATGATCATGACACGTGTAAGAATAAAAACATGAATGAATGCCATTCTTTCCTTTAAGGGCTCCCATTGGCAGCTCTAGGGATGCTTTCTGGTTAAGGATTACTTCTTGGTTACCCCACCTGAAAATCTGGTGCTGATTCAGTTCTCTTTACTGGGAGGAGCAAAATTTAAGGAATGGGCAGAGCTCACTGTTCTCCAGTTTGCAAAAAAATAAGGAAAAAAAATCAACATATAGCAGAATTTAACATGAGCAGGAGCATCTCTCTGTAAAGAGAAAAAAATAACTTTCCCTATTAAAACTGTATAGCATTTTCATGCCATACTTGACAGTGAAGGGAGAATGTAAAGTGTTTGTAGAATATTTACTAGTAAAGCAAGATACAGATGGGATTCAGATAGAGAGCTACTGCTAAATTTGTGTCAACTCTGAAGAGTCAAGAAAGAAGAGGATGGTTTCATTGGTAGAACTACATTTTTTCCTCATACTGGCTTGAGCCAGAAGTGAAACATATTGTAATGAATGTCTGTAAGATCATATTTTACTAGTTGAACTATTATTCATTAAATCAAGTTGTTGTTATAATAGCAGATAACTATTCACATGGTATATTCAATTATTGCCTCTCACACAGACACTCATTAATATTTCCCTGTTTAGACTAAGATGTAGGGAGCTTATCCTAGAAAGAAAGAGCTATTTTTCGGAAGCTTCTAATTGATGCTCAGAAATACCCTTGAGGACCAATTTTTCCATGGCACCCTAGGATGTGGCCAAGGATGTAAAACTCCCAGGTGAGACAATTATGTACTGAGTGGTCTCAACTAATCTCCAAATATTCTGAATTTATCTGTTCTTGTGGATTCATAAGACTACTAGTTTACAAGCCTTACTTATTCTTGGGAGGCTTTTCCATGCTGCCTCTCAGCACCTACCTCTCCTTTCTTTGATTTCCTGATTTCTGGTTACTGTTCTTCCTTTGCACACAGGGGCACAGCTTGCAAATTCACCTACAGGGTCTTTTATGTCAGAAATGAAGCATCTGAGCAGAGCCTTAAGCAAGCACATGTCCCACAAAATGCTCTCCTATCTCAAGATTTGAGCTTGCAGTGTTAATGTATAGCTCCAACACTTCTGGACCCAGTTGTGTTATATTTATGTGAAATTTATACCAATGTTTTGATTGCTGCGCTTTAAAATTTAGAATTGACATATATACTGCTTCCTGCAACATAACTAGGAGGTAAACAGCTCTTGTCTGATTATTTTAATACCTTCTACGTGATGACAAAATGTTCTCCTCAAATGGCAGGAACTAGATCCCTCTAGAACTGTTTTCTACGCTTTTGATTGCAGAGGTATAGAGTTTTTCAATTAAAACTGACAAAGCATAGCAACTTGTCACTAATTTCCCATTCTCCACCCAAACAAGCCAGGCAGCATTTCAATGGCTGTCATCCCGGAGTTGCTAATGCTGCACCTTTGATATTCACCTCCATCAGCATCCTCATGTTGTGAAAGGTAGGCAGGTGGATGGGCCACTGCCCCAACTGTGGCAATTGCTGCTCTGTGGCATTCAGGAAAAGCCACTGTATTCTCTCCTTACCAGGCAGGGTTATCAGTAAGATCTTCTGGTAAGGTTTCGAATAACCAGATTTACTGTTAAAGAACTAACTAACCAGACAAACAAAAAAACAAAAACAAAACACCAACATCTCATTTATTTGTCTTATATTGCTATTAAATGGATTTAATCAGAATACAGATGCTTTGGTTCAGAAGGCTGTGCAAAATAATAAAAACCTCCAGGTCTTTAGAAGTTCGATCCCACACATCTGTGAAAGTGGATGAGAAAGATAAACACACATCAAAACATATCTTGTGGTTCTAAGCTAACACAGGCTGCTACAAATCTGGATTTTGTGCTCTAACAGTCTGCATGTCTTTGAATTGTTATCTTTAAACAAAAGACATTTTCTAAGAGAATGAGCTAATATACTTAACACTGAAGTAAAGCTGGAGGCATCTGAAGGAAAATGAGCAGTTAGGAAGGAAACCACCTTCTTCCTTACTCAGGTTGTGCTGGAGAGATTTTGAGTTTCACAGAAACTGAATGTATCTTGTGGTTAAGTTAAACCTGAGCTTTGGCTTTGAGAAGGATTAATCTATGTATCTCAAACTGACGATGGCTTAAACAAACATCTAAAATGATGTTATCTGGAGTTATTTGCCTTTGAGAATCCTTATTAATGTATTTTTCACAAACTTCCAAAAACAACTCATACATTCTGCTGTTCTCTGGTGAGCCCAAATTCTTTTGGAGGAATGGCTGTTAGAAATTTTCTAACAAGAATATGTGTCTAAAACTATTGACTCAGGAAAAGCATGTTTTAAAAAACATTTGGAGATTTGACAAAGTTGGTGTTTTTGGAAATGCTGAAGTATAAGCCGAAATCTTTCCATGTATCTTGTAGCCTATCTCTAGTGTTAAGGGCTCAGATGGTTACTGCCTCTTTTATGTTATCTACCTCTTCCTCTCCTCCTTCTGTTCTTGTTACATCCTTACTTGCTTGTAGTTTTCTGCATCTTCTTCCTCCTTTCCCTTTTCAGTAGGAGTTTCTTCGCTAACTAAACAAGCTGACTTTCACAGCCATTGTTTTGTCTTGTGTATAAGAGCAACTGATAACAGCATAAGTTCATTCCCTGTTTCAGACACAGAGCCTGTTGCAGGAGTTGGAGCAGCCACAGGACCTGATGCGTTATCATCATATCCAGAGGCTTTCTCTTCCCTGAGTCTGCTGAATAGTATTGAACAGGGCTTGGAAGGCCTGGACCAGACCCCAGCAGCCTGCAGTGATTTGTGTCTCTCTGGGACTGTGAAAGTGACAGCATTTTTCTTTCAAATACTGTAATTATTTTTTCAGGATTCTGCACTTGTTTAAGAATGAAATTCCAAAGCTCTAGAGATGTCTACTGTTCTAGGTAGCTGTTCATACAATCCCACACTCCCTGCCTCAGGACAGATCCTTGTGGGATATTCTTAAATAGTTGTTTAACAAGACCCAGAACACATTCATAGCAATAACAACATGCTGGTTTGAACATCACAAGTATATTCAAAATTCTCAAGAGCTTGGAAGAGAAGGAGAAGGGGAAGGAGAAAGAGAGGGTGAAGAAGTGACTCTCCTTACCTTCCCCATAGATTGTCCCCCTTCCTCCCCCCCAAGGAGAAAAGTTACACTGCATAATTATTAATAGATTCTGAGAGATGGTCCCAAAAGTATGGAGATGACAGCAATTTCAAGTACATATACCAGATCAGACTCGTGACCAGTAATTTCATCGTATCATAAGCCAGTGTTACAGAGTATACATAAGTGTTACATAAACCAGAGAATAACAAAGTGATAAATTTAACCTAGACTGCAGAGATGATATACAGCACAGCAGGGAGCATATATAGCAAGGAAGTTGCAACAAAGCACAATTCTGAGAACAAACACAACAACTCTAAGAATAGATATTGAACATCGTGATCAGCAACTATTGAAATACTATGATGTAAACAGTAGTTTTGTTTTAACATGCTCTGATCAGATCTGTTCTTATCTCAACCCTTCAGGCCCCAGATTAGGTAAAAAAAAAAAAAAAAAAAAATCTGGAAAAGCTGAGACTCATAAAAATACACAGAATGATGTACTGAGTGATGCACAGTGCAACTGATTACTGTCCACTGACTGATGCCCAGCTAGTTTCTAAGCAGCAGGTGCTCCTCTAGGCCAACACACCAGCATGGTGCCATATGTTACGGAATATTCCTTGGACAAGTTTGAGCCAGTTGTCTTGGTTCTGTCCCCTCTCACTTTCTTGTGAATTCCAGTGTCTTTGCTGGGAGAGCAGTACAAGATGTTGAAAGTTCTTTACTTAGTGTAAGCACTGCTCAATAAGAACTAAAACCGTGTTGCCTACATTTTTCTCACCCTAAATCCAAAAC